ATCATCTGCTGCTCATCACCCACCTCCAGTTCAATCTGGGTGGTGGTTGTGGAAGGACATGCCATCTTATATCTTTCATTTCTCCCTTTGAGACCCCAACCTCCAACTGAATTCCCTTTCCTTACCCAATTAAAAACTGTCTTCCCCAGATACCAGTGAACACGAGTCTCAGCTCAACCAGTCTAGATGCCCCATAACTCTTATAACCAACATGTGAATCATTACAATGTCAGTAGTACTGTGGGCTGTAGGAATAGAATTTTATGTTTAACTTAGCTTCAAGGCATGAATAAATTCATGGTTAACTTTTTGTGAATTTTTTGGGGGGGTTTTAGAACCAAGCCTTTATTAATGCTGTCAGGAGGAAGAAAATGATAAGTAATTATGTACTTGATACAACAGAATTAGTCTTTACCATACAGAGCAACAAACAAGATCTTTTAAGTACTTACTTTTACAGTTTCAATTTCAAAAGAACACACCCAGACATTTTTCCCCATATGGGCAGGACTACCACTCTTTAGATTCTAGTGATTGTATCATGCCCAAGTCACTAGTTAAAAATTGAACTATCATGCTGACATATTTTTAAACATTAAAAAAAAAAAAACCTCAGAAGACAGAAAAATTCCAAAGGTAGAAAGTGTTGGGGATATACATTTTTTAAAGTAAAATTTAAGGACAAGAGGGACATGATAAAAAGCTACTGATATTACCAACTCAGGGCACAGTATAGGAACAAGTATGAATTATCATACAGGGTTTTCAGATCTTTCCCTGAATTTTTACTGATTGTATCTTGTAAAAGTCCACCCTTTTCTCTCGCACCCCAGGTTTTGCTTTTAATCCCCAAACTGATTTTGGCTAATAGATTCTACTCTATTACTGGATTATTTAAAAAGCATAAAGAAACCTTGGACTGAAGATACAACAGATTATCTAACCTTAGTAATATATGGATTCTGTTTGCTACCAAACATTATAGTCATTTTACAGTGACCACAAAAGACTGCTTCTTGTATAATGACTATGAAAAGATACAGTAAGCAGAGATTTTGCTTTCTCAATACTGACCACAAACACAATAAAACCAAAGAAGATGTGTTCACATGGCACAACTCAACATAAAATTCCTTTAAAATTACTGCATTTCCACTTTGCTCAGAATTTTTTTTTCATTTATTTTTATTAGTTGGAGGCTAATTACTTTACAATATTGTAGTGGTTTTTGCCATACATTGATGAATTAGCCATGGATTTACATGTGTTTCCCATCCCGATCCCCACTCCCGCCTCCCTCTCCATCCCATCCCTCTGGGTCTTCCCAGTGCACCAGCCCTGAGCATTTGTCTCATGCTGAATTTTTAATCACAAAATATCTCAGTGAACAAAAATATGAGTTACATCTCATCTTAAGTGCACACCAGAATCTTAGATACTTTTAAAGTCCACGTAGGCGTAGCCCCTCCCACAAGTCACGTGCCCCTTCTTGGGGGAAGGTGGGGTCGCAGGGTCAGCTTGGCCTGCAGGGCACTGTGCTCCCCAAATGACTGCGACCACTTTCAATGCAGTTTTTTTCCAGAATATTTCCCCCAAGATCTTCTTTTTAATCTTCCTTCTCTTTGTACCCCACTCCCCAGTCCAACTGTCGTCTCCCTCATCTGCTTCCTGAGACCTTAAACAGCCCAATTCCTCCCTGACAACTAAAACCTTATTGCTAAGTCCTGTGTTGTTTTTAATAATGTCTTTTTAATTTCATTTTGAAATAATTTCAAGCTACAGAAGAGTCGCAAGAACGATACAAAGAACTGTCACATGCCTTTCCTCCAAATATATCAATTGTAAAAACATTTTCCCACGATTTTTTTTCACTCTCCCTCCCACCCTCCCTCCCTGTTCCCCCTTTCTCCCTACTGTCTATCTCCCTTTCCCCCTTCCTTAACACACACACACACACACATTTTTTTCTCCAAATAGTTTAAGACAGTTGCATAAAATATATTCCTTTACCTTCAGATTTTTATCCAAGGATCTTCTCTTACATAATTATCAAACTCAGAAAATTTAACATTGATATATGGCTATTACCTAAAACATGGTTCACATAAAAATTTTCCAGTTGTTCCAATAATATCTTTTGTGGCAATATCTCCCTTTCCTTTCCAGCTCTAGGCCATGTTACATTTAGTTGTCACGTCTCTTTAATTGTCTTTACATTTTGTCTACCCTGACATCCACATATTTTGGAGATTACAGAGCAGTTGTTTTGTAAATTTGGGTTTGCTGGATGATTCGATTCAGGTTACGCCTTTTTAGTATAATTAGAACTTTAGACTTCCATAGGCTATTTCTGCCACAAAGCAAAAGATGTATTTTAGTGTGTATAAAAGATGCATTAAAAAAGTCACATGTTCCCAACAGACTGCCATTGCTGCAGAAGCAGACAGTCCCACCTATATGCTAAGAGGAACACGTGTAAACTAGTTCATTTTGACATATTAGTACTTGAAAACGATTCCCCTGAGTCGATAAACCTGCTAGGTACCTCCATATTTTAAAAGAAAAATGTACTAACCCAAACTCACAAGGATCTTCCCCGGTGGCTCAGTGGGGAAAGAATCCGCCTGCAATGTAGGAGACCTGGGTTCAGTCCCTGGGTCGGGAAGATCCCCTGGAGAAGGGAATAGCTACCCACTTCAGTATTCCTGCCTGGAGAATCCCATGGACAGAGGAGCCTGGCAAGCTACACTCCAAAGTGTCCCAAAGAGTCAGACATGACTGAGCAATAATAGTTGGATTTGAAAACTCACAAAGGCCTATACATTTAATTGGGGTTGTGGGCTGTTTCTCAGGTAGGCTATTCTATGCATGTTCAAGGGTGAGAAATGATGTAATTTTATCTGAAGCCATTTTGAAAAAGGGTCTTACTGAGAAATACCCCAGGAGTAGCCCACTTTCTATAATGGATGCACTGAAGCTTTTACACCCTTTTTAGTTTGTCTTAGTTTTCCTGAGGTTTATAGATCACTAACAAGGCCTTCAGGGACTGGATTTCAGAGCAGTCATATACTGGATTTAATGGCGACCCCTAGAGTCCATGGGGTCGCAAAGAATCGCACGTGACTGAAACACGCTGAGATACTGGATTGCAAAAGTTCAAATGTCTGGGGAGAGAAAGGCCTGTCAGAACCAGGTTGGTTTTGGGCGGTGGAGTGCAGTGAGCTCACCGAACAGCTGGGTGAGCGGTGAGAGGTGGGAGTGAGAGGTAACGAAGCAGGAGGTCCAGGGAGGGAGGTGAGGTTCAGATACAGCATTGATCTGTCTTCAGGTTTGCCCAAGGTTGGCCCTTTCTGGATTATGCCCCATTAACCAAAAGGAAAGCAAATGAGCGAGCAAGTTTATTACAAAATATAGAGCTTTTTTTTTTTTTTTAACTTAATGAGGATTTCAAATACAGGTTTACTTAAGCTTGTGATTTCTAAGCAAATATCTGTTCTTAGGATGAAAATTTGCTATGTAGTAAAGAAAATAGTGTTTTTCTTTTTCTCTTTTAAAATAGTGAGGAAACAGCATGATGACTTTATATCTCCCTCTGTTTCCCGGGCAACATTCCCAGCATCTTCATGTCTTTGTGTACCCTCAAACCCCCACTTTTTTTCCTTCGTAGAAGCAGCAGCAGCAACTTTGCACAAAGATTTTGGGAGGAACAGATGTAAGCCACTGACCACATATGAGAAACGGAGGTTCCTATGTTACAGGCAAGGTAAACAGCACAAAAAGGAGGCAGTATTTTACAGAACGGCTAAAGAAATGTCAGTAACAATGGAACACAGCCTGTGGGATTTGTTGCTTATATTGCCTTCTCAGAATACAAGGTTCCTATTTGACTGAATTTGTGCCTGTGGAGTTCTAGAGTTACTAGAACATCCCTGTACTTGAATTTTGAGCCTAGAATCATGTTGAAAGTTTTAGGGGAAGTATATAATTTAAACTAGTATCTATATGTCTGAAGAGAAGAGAAGGGGAACCCACTCCAGCATTTTTGCCTGGAGAATCTCACGGACAGAGGAACCTGACGAGCTACAGTCCATAGGGTCACAAACAGTTGGATACAACCGAAGTGACTTAGCATGCACATGAAGATAACAGGAGAAACAGTGAGATACATATCAAACTAATTTTCATTGGTGGCTTAAACAGTTAACATTAAAGTATATTTAGATATTGCAGTTTAAAAAGAACTTTTTTGGTTAGGTAATTTAGTTTATAGTATCTTTAAAATAGTACCTGTTGTTAAACTCCCCATAGCTTTTTGTTTTAATCTTTATAATTTCTTTTTGTTGTTAGAAAATGGAGCAGATCTTGAAAGTTCTCTTTACAAGAAAGAAGTTTTGTAATTATGTGTGGTAACAGATGTTAACTGAACTATTGTGATAATCATTTTGCAATATATACAAATATTGAATCATTGTATTATATAACCTGGAACCAATATAATATTATGTCAATTAAAAATGAATGAATAACCATTGCCAAACAGGATAAAACAAAACTTTCTGTCTTTTATAATTTCTTTTAAAGATCACTTTGTAAATATGCCTTGCTTTGTGAGTTTTCCAGTAAGCATAAAAGGGTGTCATTAATGTTTCCACTTGGTTTTGTAGCAGTCTCAATTTATTTAAATGCTCTTCACTGTGATTTAGAAGATGGAGCTGATTCTTCCCGTATCGCAAGATGATAGGAATTATGGGAACCACTCATTTTAGAACTTTTCTTGCATAAACATGCTGTGATCATAAAAAGTAAAGGATAAGAATAATGTAGTTATTGCTTCTATTTTGTTATCATGAATAACCTATAAACCAATACGTTCACTGATGACAAGAAGAACAATTTCCAGTCAGTGGAGTTTAAGATGCATAATTTTTCAACCCAATTGTTTTACTTGAAAACTGAAAGCACAAATCTTTTTCGAGTCTTTTCTGAGGCCTTGGCTTCTTTTACTTCAGCACATTTGGGGCTTCTCTCTTTTCTCTGCTTTCCTCAGAGGAACTTCCTCTCCAGAGTCTTCTCCTGGGGAAATAATTGTAATAAGGAGGAAGGCGACTGTGTGGACAAAAATATGGATGGAATTGAAAATGGTGGTTCCACGTTGGAGGAGGGTAAGGCTTGTATGGAAACCTAATGTAGACTCGGGACCATCGTGGTGGGAAAAAATGGAAGGGACACCTGGGTGTCCTGGTGATGGGCTGGGTCCTCGTCACTGGGTTCCTTGTGGCAGGGGGAGGGGTGAGTGTAAAGATCTCGCAGTCTGTAGGGTGTGCATTATTTTGTGAATCTCCAGGAGGAGTGACCACTTCTTGTCCTGTGGGGAGAAAAGTACATGTCAGGAAATAGGCCTGATGGCAGGAACAGAGGGGAAAGTCTTCAGGTGTAGCAGAGGAGAAAGAAGGGAAGGGAGAATTCTAGAGTCTCCTTAAAGCATGTTTGAGAGAACTGTCTAGGTCAGTACAATGAGACATGGACACTCCTTGTGACCCAGAAATTCCATGCTGGAGAATTTACCCACGAGAAATGAGTGCGTATGTCTACAGAAGATTAGTTCAAGAATTTTTTTTTTTAAGCAGCTTTTTTTTTGGCCACACTGTGGGGTTTGTGGGATCTTAGTTCTCTGACCAAGGATCAAACCTGTGCCCCCTGCAGTGGAAGTGCAGTCTTAACCACAAGACCACCAAGGAAATCCGCATAGCACTCTTATTCATATTAACCTAACCCTGGAAACCATCAGTGGGCTCCCTCGTGGCTCAGATGGTAAAGAATACGCCTGCAATGTGGGAGACTTGGGTTGGGAAGATCCCCTGGAGGAGGGCATGAAAACCCACTCCAGTATTCTGCCTGGAGAATCCCATGGACAGAGGAGCCTGGTGGGCTATGGTACAAAGGATCACAAAGAGGTGTACATGACTGAGGCAAGTACATACACACAGAAACCATCAATAGGTGAGGGTAAATAAACTATGTATTCATACAATAAAATACTACTCAGCAATAAAGAGCAAGAATTATGAATACAACAACATGGATGTATCCTATGATGCTATGTTGAGCCAAAGAGGTTAGACACAAGAGTATGTACTGTAAGATTCCAATTATATGAAGTTCAACAACAAGCAAAATTATGTTAATCTATGAGAGATGTTCCAGCTGGATTTAGAATTGGCAAAGGAACCAGAGATCAAATTGCCAACATTTGCTGGATCATCAAAAAAGCAAGAGAGTTCCAGAAAAACATCTACTTCTGCTTTATTGACTATGCCAAAGCCTTTGACTGTGTGGATCACAACAAACTGTGAAAGTTCTTAAAGAGATGGGAATACCAGACCACCTGACCTGCCTCCTGAGAAATCTGTATGCAGGTCAAGAAACAACAGTTAGAACTGGACATGGAACAGCAGACTGGTTCCAAATTGGGCAAGGAGTATGTCAAGGCTCTATACTGTCAGCTAGATTATGTAACTTCTATGCAGAGTACATCATGTGAAATGCCAGGATAGATGAAGCACAAGCTAGAACCAAGATTTCCGGGAGAAATATCAATAACCTCAGATATGCAGATGACACCACCCTTATGGCAGAAAGTGAAGAAGAACTAAAGACCCTCTTGCTGAAAGTGAAAGAGGAGAGTGAATAAGGGGGAATCAGGATGGGGAACACATGTAAATCCATGGCTGATTCATGTCAATGTATGGCAAAAACCACTACAATATTATAAAGTAATTAGCCTCCAACTAATAAAAATAAATGAATTAAAAAAGCTAGCTTAAAACTCAACATTCAGAAAACTAAGATCATGGCATCTGGTCCCATCACTTCATGGCAAATAGATGGAGAAACAATGGAAACAGTGAGAGACTTTATTTTTGAGGGCTCCCAAATTCCCACAGATGGTGACTGCAGCCATGAAACTAAAAGACACTTACTCCTTGGGAGGAAAGTTATGACCAACTTAGACAGCATATTAAAAAGCAGAGACATTACTTTGTCAACAAAGGTCCATCTAGTCAAAGCTATGGTTTTTCCAGTAGTGATGTATGGGTGTTGAGAGTTGGACTATAAAGAAAGCTGAGTACTGAAGAACTGATGCTTTTGAACTGTGGTGTTGGAGAAGACTCTTGAGAGTCCCTTGGACTGCAAGGAGATCCAACCAGTCCATCCTAAAGGAGATCAGTCCTAGGTGTTCATTGGAAGGACTGATGCTGAGGCTGAAACTCCAGTACTTTGGCCACCTGATGTGAAGAGCTGACTCACTGGAAAAGACCCTGATGCTGGGAGGGATTGGGGGCGGGAGGAGAAGGGGATGACAGAGGATGAGAGGGTTGGATGGCATCACATATGTGATGGACATGAGTTTGAGTAAGCTCCAGGAGTTGGTGATAGACAGGGAGGCCTGGCATACTGCAGTCCATGGGGTCGCAAAGAGTCGGACACGACTGAGCAACTGAACTGAACTGAATGGTTTAAAAAAAGTGAAAAACAGCTTAGGGTTACATGCAGGTGTCATTTAGTGGAGAAAGGAACCAGTGAATTCTTTCGATCTTGATCTCGGTGGTTGTTACATGAATATGGAGATATGCACACACATTTATATTTACACACATACATGTAAATATACACAAAAGTATATGTGTACACATATATGCATATATGTAAAAAGTGATTCATCTGCACTTCTAAGATGTGTGCCTTTTATTGTGCATAAATTATAAATAAATAAGAAAATTTGGTGGGAAAAAATGTAACATTAAGAAAAGTAACTGTCCCCCCGAAGGCTGTTAATCTGAAAGACTTGCTTCACTCTCCCAGCAGTGAACTCGCTCCCTGAAGAGGACAGAGGGAGCGTCTACACACATGAGAGGAATGACCACTTGGGACCAGCACGACAAGTTTCTGAGGAGAAATTTGGATCAATATTCAGCGTCAAGCTGGATCACTTAATCAAACTGGCTATGAAAAAGCAAGATTTCCTTTAGAAAATTATCCCATCTCTCCCTTAGAAACTTGCCAATACAAAGGGCAGCTGAGTGTGAATGACGGAAAAAATGAATTCCTCACAGGACTGTTGTTAGACATTCAACTCTTTCATTGACTGGCCAGTGACCAATCAGATGTCATCCGAGAATTTCATCAAAGAGACACAGTGGAGGGTGTAAGGAGAAGGTGTAGGGGAGAGGTTGAAGTGTCAGGTGTTGGCCAGTTGAATGTTGAATGAACAGAGAAGCCAGTCTTTGCATAGCTGTAAAATGGGGACGGCCTCTCAAAGAGAAAAAGAGACAAGTGCCTATGTGGTAACAGGGTGATTGTGAGAGTAGCCTTGGCTCTTGATTTTCCAGGGTTGATCTTTTTGAGGGCTGGCTGTACTTAAGTTTCTTGGAAATATCTTTATAATAATCACCTCTATTATTTTGTTAATCCACCTTGAATGGGTGAATTAAATACTGACTCTTTCTCCCATATCCACTCAGGCTACTGAGCATTAAAATGTTATGGTTGAAACTGGATTAAGACATTTCAAACTACAGAAGATGACTTAATGCCATATCACTCATTCTTTCTGTAGGAGATAGGAAAAAGAAAAGCAGGCCCCGGCAAGGGCCACAAAAGAAATTTATAATTATTGATAAACTGGATGCAAGGCATGAGACTCTTGGAACAAGTCCAGAGGGAACAGTTCATAATCTTGAAAACAAGATATGCTCCTGGGGTCGGAAAACTGACCCCAGACTGTTTCTCAACTGGTGTCTCAGAGTCACATGTTTTACGTATGTGGTGGAAAATCTGTAGATAAAAACATTAGTCTTAGTTACTGATTTTTTATTGATTACTGTTTCCTAATTACTCAACGGTTAGTGATCATTTTGTTCTTTGGCCCTGAAGGCCACATGAGTTATAGTTTAACTCCCCGCATATTCTTTCATTCACGGCTGAAAGTATAACAAACCTGGCTTGGATTCAGTTTCGGCACCTTCACCTTGGAGCGGTGTTGGTCCCCTGATCCTCACTTTTCTCTGAATTCTTGCGTCTCGTTTCTCGTTCTCTCGCTGTATTGTGCTTTCGGAAACCCTGCTTGTTGAGCTGGTCTTGACACTTTCCTCCTACACAATCAGATTAATTATGAACCTTTTTAACATAGAAATTTTCTGCTGAGAATCCAGTCGCTAGAGAGGAAGCTAGCCTTATTCTTGAGCTCCACTGTGACATTTTGCTATCAGATCAGGTAGGTCTTGGGCTCTGCCACTCAGTAAATTGGATTCTAGCTTTTAAAAACATCCACCCTTCGTGCTCATTTTACTTCTTAAAACTGAGGCTACTCACCAAATCCTCCTGACGATGGAGTGTTAGAGTTGTTAGTGCTTCTCTGACTCTGGGATGTCTAGTGTTTTTTAAAATTAAAATTTCTTTTTTATTTTGTTGTTTTTTGACCATGCCATGCAACATGTGAGATCTTTTTTTTTTTTTAAATAAAAAGCTTTATTGGAGAAAAATAGAACCACCACGTACACAGGGAAAAGAGCACAAAAATTCAACTGATACAGAACGGAAAGTCACAACTACCCAATGTCGTTTGCGATTACTTTGCAATTTCTTCAATGGCTTCCCTCAATTTTTTAAATAGCCTTGCCAATTTATTTCAGCTGAAATAGCATCAAGTTTTAAAAAAACAAAGAGCCTCAGCGAAGGGACCAGCTTTTAAGATAACAAAGGTGACACCAAGAGTCTCCTAATAGGAACAATTCTACCGAAAAATTCCTGAAACACGTAACTACTGAGTCTGGTAGAACAGTAGCTCAGAGACCATCAAGGATTAGTTAGAACACTGACTCAGACGGTCCAGTATGCAGAGAGGGCAAACAAAAAGCTGCATTTCCCTGTCAGAGGAGTTCACGTAAGAAAACCAAGGAGGTGCTAAGACAATGCAGGCAATGGCTGCTGAAAACAATTAAGAAGGCATTCTAAATACCACATATTATTAGCCAACAGTATGTAAAGTGATGCAATAGAAAACAGGCAACTTAAAAAAAAATATGGTCACAGGTCTTTGAGAACTCAAGAAAACAATCAATAGCAAACACAAGAGCTGAAAGTCTTCTCAGCTGAGGGTTGAAAGTGAAAGTGAAGTCGCTCAGTCGAATCTGACTCTTGGCGACCCCGTGGACGGTAGCCCACCAGGCTCCTCCATCCGTGGGATTCTCCAGGCAAGAATACTGGAGTGGGTTGCAGCATGTGAGATCTTAATTCCTCAACCAAGGATCGAACTCGTGCACTCTGCTTTGGAAACTCAGAGTCTTAACCACTGAACCACCAGAG